TGAAAGGACCAAACAACTGAGGCTGTGACTGAAAAAATACTCATACTGTCAGGAACACTATTTGGATTATCAGAACTCTGTCAAGAACATATTGTCTTTGCTTATATATCCACTCAGAGCACACTACAACTATAGCACAATTTTAACTCATCCTAAACTTGTTCTAGATTAAATGTACAAAAGAGAAGGCCATCTAAGGATCATGCCAGTCCCCCCTAGGTTGTCTTAATTGTTCTCACCCTTTTCAGCTCGAGTTCATGCTTGTTTTCACTGAAACACTAAAGGTTATTCACAACCTCCTCTGAGATATCGACTGCCCCCAGTGTCAAACTGTTTCTGCTCCATGGTACTGATACTGAAGTCCAGCCAGTCTGATCAAATGCTGTGTGAGTTTCCAGTTAAATTCTCTTTCCACTCGAAAGCCCAGTAAGCTGGGATCAAATGATATCAGATTCTTTTGCCAGCAGGACCTTTGTCATCTTACAGCTGACAAAACACTTCAACAGCTACATCACAACCCCCACACCCCCGAAACCACCTCTACATACAAACACACACGAGACTTTGTGAAAATGTTTATCTAAACTAAAATGTTAAATAAAAAAAGCAGCCTATAACTAGTAGTCTGTACTCTTTTGAAAGTCAATAATTTATTTCATTGTATTCCCTTTTGCCAGGAAGCAAATTGACATTCAGTAAAACGAAATGCATATTTGAATGGCCGGACTACTTTTGATATTTTGATTATTCTGTCTTTTTTGTCACATTATGTGCGGTATGTTTGCATTTGTCCTCCAGCCAGCCTTAAACAGAAACAATAAACTGCAGGGTGCTTTGAGGAAAAGGCTAAATTAAAAATGTCATATCATTTATGATCTTGAGACTAGCTGTGGAAATGTAACTGAATTTCACTACAGAACCCTTGAAAAAACCAACGTAGAAGATGCTATCACTGCAATAAATGAATAAATACATTTTTAATTTGCTTTTCACAATTTTGACTAAATAAGTGTACAAGTCTAAAACAAACACTGAGGATATATGTATTGATTCCTTTGCAAAAATGAAGTGCAATTTCAGTTTGACTTTGAATCATCATGTTTGTGTAGTTGTTAGGGCTTATGACTAAATGACACATAATTATGCATACAGCAGTCATGTATAAAAAAAGATTTATTTTAATGTTGTAAACATTTTACTAGGCACTAATAAATAAAGTTGAATGAGTTGAGTGTCTCTAGCAGAGGAGTTGGTTTGTGATTAAAAAAGCAGCAATTATCAACATCTCGGAAACAAACAGCAGAAATTGAGCACAAAAGAAATAGATGTGTCATTTTATTCAATAAAACTAGAGTCTATTGTATTTTTACCTGCATCACTGTACACAACTCTGCCATTCAAAGCTAAAATCAGCCTTCCTCCACACAAAGCAGCTCAGTGCAAACAGGGCCACAGTGACATTAGGTGGGCGAGACTGCTGCTCAGTATGGCCTTTGGCTGGTTAATGAGATAGAACATTTGGCCAGTTCTGATCTGGCTGTTTTATTATGTGAACAGACAACTGCGGAACCCATTTAGCAGCCAAATACCTGTGGCTTTGATTTTGACAGAGCGTGCCTGCTTGTCCTCTGTGTCTCTCTCACACAATCAATCAAAGCCTGAACTGGAAGGAAAGGACATGGGAATCAAACAATATTTCAGCATTTGACATGTAAATGTTTTGCAAAGATCATTCCATTCATCAGATTAGAAGCAGCTGTAGACCAGCTGACTTGACAGATATCTTGTCTAAATTCTTGTTTACAATAGAAAGGCAGTGAAAGGAGTGCAGTGTTTGTCTCGAAGCAGTGATTTTGCTTGCATGCTTTTTGGCTGACATGCTGTCATTTAATGCCACGTGGTTAAATAGAGTGACAGTGACATTTGAGGAAAAACAAGACTTTGGTCAAAACGTAGTCTTTCCTATGTTTTGCCCCCTTGAGTTTAATGAACAAATACAGTGATACAAATGGCTTTTAGAAACCACATCAAATGTCTGCTAAGACACATTTTTGACCCTCTGTTCGGTATTGAAAACTAGAGGCCTCCGCTTCTTTGTTGTGTATCTTGGAAAATGTTAATCAAACCTGATAGGGATCATACTTGTATAATTTACATACTTAAGTTGCGGCATCAATCACCACGTGGCCAGTACCAGATTAGTCTGCTATCATCACTGCATAATTATTGCTTTAGTCTGCATCAGCAGAAAATAAGAAAATGTGTTTATTTTTGAATGTTATGTTTTAAAGTACAAGTTTAAAGTGTGAAATTCAGTTTGTATACTGTGAATTTCCTTTTCAGACATTTGCTCACGAGTTGGTGTTATACAGCATGAAAAGAAGATGCATATGGATGTACATACAGTTATGAGAAAATGTTGATATATGAATGGTATTATAGTGCCCTTACTAATAATGATATTAGAGAAATTATTTTTATCACTCTTTTATCAAAACGGTGCTTGTTGTCATACATGCACAGATGTTGCAAGAGTTTCTGTTTTCTGCAGCAATTTGCTCACTGATTGCCTAAATAGTAGTTAAATCATAACCCAGATAGATAAACACAACAACACACATCATTAAACATTGATAAAACTATTTCGGATGTTGTCTGACAGACTTTAGGTAAAGAAGATTGGATTGTTAACAGCAACAAATAGCTGTATACAATAGCTGTATTTTGTGACTCTTTAGAGTATACTTTCTAAATTGATCCAAAGACCTACAATAGTTTTTTTTTGTTTTTTTTAATTTGCCGTGTAATAAGGCCCCTAAAACATTAATTTAATCCCAACACAACATGCCACCATAACCACCATACTAATAATACATAAACCTCACCTACATAATGCAACAAGCGTGTTGCTACTCTCCTCTGAGCCTTAGTAAACCTTTCTAATTAAGGTGTGACCTCAGGAGGCACACTAGTCTGTGACATCATATCACTACATGCTGTAAAAGCTCTTGGAAAGACTAAGGTATGTGTAGCTGGAAATTGAAGTTTGCAGGGTTTTTAGCAATCATGACTCAGGGCTTGATGTAACGAAATGCTGTGCTGAGTGTGGATAGGAATGAATTGGAGGCTCCTCCACTCCAAGTGAGACATTTTGAGCATAAGAAAACAGCAGATCTGGAAACGTCCACATTTAGCGGTGAGAGTTCAAACTGCATTAAAGGAGCCCCTCAGAGTTTTCACTTGCACAGGAAAGAATTTACATTAGTTTATCACTACAATGCATTGTATACTTACTGACCTTAAGGCTTAAGGAATCCTATGTCATAAAAGTCTTTTATTTTTGACATTTTGACACCTGAGTTGTTATAAAAATTTTTGTTTAATTTGTAAAATTTAAATGCCAAAAATGCGATCACACTCACAGCTAAACCAACCCACAGACTTTGGATTTCAGCTCTTTAAAATAGTCACACACCAACTGGTTGGTCGATTGATTTTAGAATCACTTTCCACCCACCCATTTAAAGGATGATTCCAATCTCTACGTGACTGTAGAAACCATTGTTTCCATCTTTCATTAAGTCATAATCATTAAAAATAGAGAAAAAAAAGAGAAAATATTTTCAAAAAAAATGAGAAAAAGCTCAAATCATTGAGTCCCCTTTGTGTGGATTGTTAGGCAAATAGGCAGCTGAGTTGGACAGACTGGATGGCTCTGCAGGAGCAATTTGCTATTGGTTCTGCTCTAGGATGACTGATGATGGGCAGCAGCTTAGAGCTGGCAGGAAAGAAAGGGACACAGTGGCACAGCGAGTACTGGACATGTCGGTAGTGATTACATTCAGCTTCAGAAAGGGTCAGGGGTCAGATTGAGCGTGTGCCGGCAGCTTCCTGCGCCAAACTGACTGTATTCCCAACACTGTACAATGCCATCTCCTTATGTTGCTCCGGGCTAGCTCTGCAGCCTCACTTTCACACTGTCACTGCTTCTCACTATTTGAAAATCAATTCAGTTCCCCCACTGAATGCACCGGTGTAGCATATATTCCCCAGTGGTAAGAGTTGAGAGCTTACTGTAAAGTCAGATTTCAGGCAAAGAATTCAGATTTCAGCATTACTCATACACAACACTCTGTTCTATAAAAAAATAAAATTGCACTAACCATTTACATCTCTCAGCAACATTGTTAAACAGTTATGAGGAAAAGAATACCTTGCACCATGAAGGGCAAGTGTGAGATGTCTATGGAAGCTATCTTTAAAGTGTAACAGAAGCTAGTCACCTCAGGTCTAGCTTCTAGCACACAGGATACCACAGAAGTGCAGCACGAAACATTAAAACTGTAGTTTCCTCCATTTTGAACTCGGCAGTGTGACAGTCCCAAAAAAAGTCATCACAGTAAAGGCAGTTTGCCATTGCTAGCAAATTTGCATGTCAGAGTTCAGCAAAGTTTATTTATCTATATAAATGGATCTGTTCGGTTACTCAGCATGACTTAGTGTTATTTTTGTGGTTCGGCAGACTTCAAACTAATTATATACAACTAATATAGACAACCGTATACTGTGTACTGTCTGTGTACTGGCTAGTTTCCAGATCAGGCTGCAGCTTTATTTGCAAAGATGATCATAGGCTACAATCATAGGCTACATCTTCACATTCAGTTCATCAAATCTAAGTGATATACATTTGAAAATAAAGGCATAGGATCTTTTAGCTACAAACAACCTATGCTGCTTTCTAAATAACACCCCTCAGGTTAACTAAAATGCAGCACTAATGAAGTGAATCAATTTTTACAGTCAGCTTTATTTACATGAGTTAGCTCATTGGGTGTTGTTTAAAAAACATTTAAGAGACGGAATTGCTTGTCCACTCACAGGGAAACACTTTGTGTGCTTTTCAGTGCACAAAATGAGATTCACGTAGCGAGAAGCGCTTTAACATCAGTCTGAATAAACTCAAGGATGCTTGTAGAAATGTTTGAAGAAAGACTCACCATCCTCTCGAGACTTTTGGATAAACGCATCAACGCCACTTTCCCCGTAGTTTCCCTCCGAAGCTACAGTGGAGACATAGTTCCAGCGCATGGCTTTGACAATGTCCACCATGGCCTGGGCCTGGTAGGTGTCTGGGGGCACCACCCGGGAGAAGAAGTCATAGCGGGTGTTATCACTCAGCTCTGGAGCCGTGGAGGCATAGCTCACCTGAGGGATCTAAGAGAGGAGGAAACAGAGAGATGTGGTTACACATGGGGAAATGAATAAATAATGGCCTTTGTGTAAATTAATTATATATACAGCAGGAAGACTCCTTGCAGTTTTATGTACAAATACATGATTATAATATGACACTTAACATCTGCTGAAATCTCCCAACTGCTCCCTAGTGGTTGTTCATCCTCTACAGTTTTTCACGCTCTTGCTTTAAATAGTCTTGATGATCACAGGCTTAGCTACAATACCTTCTGAGAAGTATTTTCCACACCAGTCGAGCAACACTAATCTGTTCATGAATTCACACTTGTCTCAGGCAAAATGTGAGATTTGTTTGGTCTTGAAAAACATATAAGAACAGGACGCCTTGAGAGCTGCAATAATACCCAATGTTCCTGTCAGGATTCACAAAGCCGTTATTGTATAATGGGAAAACTATAAATATAAAATAACCTTATTGTGTTAAACAGTTTGAATGAAAGTTAGAGCACATGAAGGTCAAATGTTGAGTGATAGCTCGACAGAGTGGAAAATAATCAAAAGCAAGTTGAACTTCTGGAACTGATTGAAACTGCCTCAGATGAAATCACAATATTCTTTTGATAAATCATCTAGTTTGACGTGTAAAAACAGCTTTTGTTGGTGAGTGCAAATCTAGTTCTGGTTGCCTTCACATGCGGCTGTTCTAAAGGGTTTAACTCCCTCTGTTCTTGGTTTCACTACAGAGGTCTTTCAGAAGCTGTCTCCAGCAGGAAATTCTTAGTTGATAATCTCAACTTTTGCTTGCTCAAGTTATTTCAGATTTATGGCCGCCATAGCTGCTGTGATCTTCCTACTCTATGGCTTCTGTGCTGCACAGTTTGGAAGTTAACTGACCAGATTTTATGACATTCAATAATGTGTTTCATGGTTTAACTTCAAATATGGACACACTTTTTATGCTGATGCATTTTTTTTTCTTCTCCCGATTCCCCAGGGCTGATAAATTCAGGCAGTAGATGTAGAAGGCAGAGTCTGCTGCTTTAAAACAGAATAGAGTTTGACTGCATTTGAGTCAGTGGGTGAAGATCTTCTAATGTGCGTGAACCGACCCAGTATTAGACTAGACTACTTGTCCTTAGGCCTCTGTATCATGTATATTTTTCATAGTAAAAACACAAAACACTGAAAAGCAATTTATAAATTAAAGAACAAATGATTGAAAAAGGCTGCTTTGGAGTATTGCTTAGTGTTTATAGTCATGTGAGGATATTAACTATTTCAAAAATTCAGTTTTCTATAGCCAATACCCCCCTAATCTACAAATTGTAATCTGTTTTACAGATTATTTAAATAAAGCATTACAATAACCACGTCTTTCCAATGATAACTTAGAAGGCCCAAATAGTTGACTTTTACTGTGCCTTTTCATGATGACTGACACACGAATGAAACGTTGCTCATCCTTTCCAAATACTGTTTGTCATGGCACCTCAGTGCAGCCCTGGGGATTTTGACAAATGCTGTCACCTTTGAGCTGACCAAGAGGAAGGGATGTGTGGATGGAGGGATAAGATGAATGTGACACTTTGAAACCTGCAGTATGCTAGAACAACATTCATTTGTTACTGCTTAGAAGATGTATGACTTTCTGCGTCTGCTCTTTTATGAATCTGAATTTCAAAATAAAAATGGTGTCACCTGCCAATCCATGTACAGTACCTATATCCAGCAATGCTACATCAAAGTAAACTTTATCCTCTAGCAGTCCTACTTTACCAATATTTACTCAACTAACCACATATAGACCACTGTGGAGGTGATATCGTCCCCTCCTCTCTACCTCACTTCACACAGCGGAGGCCTTTGATGTGGCCAGCTGTAGCGCTGCACTGATCCTGCTTCTACTGTGCTCCCTGCAGCCTGTGTTAGGAGCACAGCTATTCAGTCTGTACCTATGACCTACAGCTCCTAACAACTCATGTATCTCCACACCAACTCTCTTTTTTTGCCACAAGAATCCACCGGGTAAAGCCAAAACTGAGGGCAGCAAGCGCAGAACTTGTAATACTTGATGTAATAACATCAAGTAGACTTTGTAGAATTCTAGGTCCAAATAAAAAAACACACATTGACAGTGCTTCAGTGCAGGCTTGGCTTTATAGGTAATGACTTGTAATGCAGCAACCGTGCCGATCAAAGGCAGCCTTGTTAACTCAATTCCCTTTCAAAGAAGAGAAGAAGCAGACAAGGGAAATCTGTGTGTGCGGTAATGGACCATGTGCATGTTGCAAGCCAGCCTCCTGGACCGACAGCTTTTCAGTTGCCCCAGACCATCACACTTTGCTGTGTCCACACAGCCCTTGTGCATTGGTTGTCTTGTTTTTGAGTTGGAGTTCCTTGTGCAAATTGCATTGCTTCATGAACTGTGAGCACTGACATCAGTGTTGGAGGCTGACATGCTTCCTGCATGTGTTCCTCTGGGATGCTCTTAGAGACACAGAACTTGACAAGGTCTGTGTCAGACCTTGAGCCTGCACCCTGCGGACTGGTGGCTGTCAGCTGACTTGTTGATTTAACACCTGGCGGTAACAGCAGGCTAATGTACACCTGACCCCCAAGTTTGCTTAGTTTTCATCTGCTTTGATGGGTGGTAGGACTATTCTCTTTACATCTGCGTTTTTCTCCCCCTTAGAAGTAATGAAAGTGTGAACCAGTTTTTCTTTTTATTGCACTCCTTTGACGTCATGAGGCAGCATCTAGCAAACTGCAATTCAAGTGTTGTGCAAAGGTGTTGGGAAGGTGTTAATGATGCCTCATTTTAGATTATTCCAATGTTCTAGCACACAGCAGCAGAGAGAAATTTAGCCTTTTTACAATATGCACCTACAGTTTGCCATACAGCTTGTGTGTTAGTGATAGATGTGTTAATTTTGCAAATGCAATATGTTCTTTACATACATATAAGGTGATAACACATGTATATAAAGGTCTCTTTCTATTGTTACCAGAAAAAAGTGAAGACAGGGCAACTAAGTGAAAACTTAATTCTAAATGTTTTGTGTTGTTTTTCAGGAAAAAAAACATGCAATGTTTTAAAAATATCTAGGAAATGTTTTGCAACTGATTTTGAATTTCTCTTTTTGTGTTTTAATTTTGCTGCTGTCATGTATTGTGGTACAGATGTGACGTGTCTGGTCCCATATCTGCCAAGTAAGTGGGAGCTGCAGTGAAGCTACCCTGTGTTGTATTTTTCACCTGAGGGATTTTCACTGCTGTAACAATCACACAATTTCAGCATTCTGTCAAGAACCGGGACAGGCAGAGCTTATCATGTTTGTGTTGGCGAGATTTCTTGCTCACTGGACTACAGCGATAGTCCTGAACAGTGTGCCTCCTCTAATAGAACACAGTCACTTCTTAGCATTGACTCAAGAAATTAAATTCCTCAGCAAGGGCCCCCTCCGATCTCCCTCTAGAGAATAAAAAGAAATAGGGATTGAATGGGAAAAATAAAGACTTGATGCTTTGTAAAAAGAGAATGTGCCATATGCAGTGAGCAGAGAATATCTTGGCAGGGTTTGACATAGGAAAACTGCACTGTGCAACTGAGTTTAAGACGGCTCACCATCCCTGCAGCCAGATTCAGTGGTAAAGATCTTAGTAGGTTGTTTAAAAATGTTCTCATGGCTCCATTTTAGTGATGCTGTGTACACTTACCATCTGTTCAGGCTGAGACTAAAGCAGCTGAGCTTCCTGTCCTCTGATGTGAGCTCTTTGTGACCCAATTACTTCATCAGAGTATACCAATACAGTATAACCCCCCCCCCCCCCCCCCCCAAAGAAAAAAGTTTATAGAACTGCTTTAATCTTCACCCCCTCACCCCAGCACTATCCATTTAATTGCTAATGGGCTTTGGAAATATGTTTAATTGCTGTGATGTGAGTTTCAAGCAGATTTTTGATGCAGATTTAATGTTCAAATCACTTGCTTTAAATAACTGTGCCTTCTTAAAAATTCAATGAGCTCATTTGGCACTGCATCAATGCAGGAGTAATGATGCTCATTAGAACTGTACAGAAATATTATACATCTCTACTGTTTGCTGGGGAAGAAAAATCAAAAGCTTTAGTCGGGCTCTGGAAATGTTTCAGTAAATACTTCCAGCAAATATGTTTGGAGTATATTTTTGATCTATGAAAACAGAAAGTAAAGGTTTTGCATGAACTAACTCGTGTGTTAATCTTACTGACACTTATGCAGGACTGCAGTTACTGTGTAAGAGGTGTTGATATTCCATCTTAATAAATAGTATTATAAGCTAAAGCTTTCATAGCTTAGCAACTGTAACTAGGCAAGGTAGGCCTGTTAAGCTTTGTATTTCTCCCCAGTGGTGTGCATTGGACTTTGGAGCGTCTTTTTTTTTTTTCTTCTTCTTCTTCTTTTTTTGCCTTTCATCAAAAATACAGACACAAACAGATAAAACAGTGTGCTTATCTCTTCTAACATAAGATGCAATGTTAGCATGTCAGGCTAACTAGCTAATGGCACCTTAGCACTACTTTAAGGAGCATGTTATCACCTAACTACATTATTTTGTGGGATTCCAGGTTCTGTACTGTACTGTTCATGTACATCCACAGCAGAGTTTAGAGTAATGATGGTGGTTCTGTCCTGCTCTTTAGCAGCCAGCCCCTCCAACAATACTTATTACTTGAGATGGTGTTAAAGGTGCCCTTTGGAGGTTTCTTGTAAACAAACAGTCTGTCTTTATATTCAGTGTTATTAACCAGAACGCATCTTGTGTACCCTTGAGATCTATCAAATGTATTGAATGCTAGAGCTGTTAAAAACTGACAGTTGTCATTTTAGCTGAAAAAAAAATCAACAGTCCTCGGCTAGAAATGAAAAACCAACTTCTGCGTGAAATCAAAGAACCATTGTTTCAAAAATTGCTCTGAATTTCGAGTGGAAAATGTGGTTGACATTGTAAACTGTGTATGTGCTGTGCTAGAATGGA